CCAGGCTGGGGCTCTAAGCAATCTGCTTTAGTGGAAGGCATCCCTGACTATGGCGGAGTGGCTGGAATTAGATGATCTCTAAAGATCACTTCCAATCCAAACTGTTCCATGTTCTGTAACTATTCCTCATATGACTACTACGACTACTACTACTACTACTACAACTACAACGACTACTACTACTACTACTACTACTTCTAATTTATGAATGTTCCGCTTCCAGGAAATGAGGAAATTATATCTTCTTCATTATGGATTTTACTTGGGGTAGCAGTTGCAACACCCTTGATGGCAATCATCACATTTTTTTTCTGCAAGAGGTAAACTTAATTTATGCATTTATTTTATTTTCTCTGTGTGTGTGTAACACCTAAAGTTTTTAAACAAATAAGGTGGAGGTGTCTCTGTAGGATAGGTAAAATAAACACCATAAGTGAAACAGAAATGGAAAGAAACATTCTCCTGTATGATGCATTTTGCATAGAAATGTACAGTAATTTAGAGAAGATACAGCTCTCTCAACTTGTTAAAACTTTTACCCCCACTTTTCACTGTTTGTAGTGACGTAGCAGGAGAAATTTCTTTCTCTGTCAAAGAAGGAAATTTACTACTAGTAAATCTTCAATCAAAAATTAATCTATTACCTTCTAAATTATTAATGTTTTCCTGATATATGTTCATTCTGTGTTGAGATTATGTATATTTTTCAGTTTACTTCTAAGAGTGGAGAAGAAGATAAGAGCTGGTTCAAGGATGCAATGGTGCTGTCACATTATGGTTATTCAATTTTAATTTTTTATTCAATACATTTTGATTTCCAGGACTGGCTGTTGGAAGACAGCATTTCCACAGATCCCAGGACCAAAACCTGCTTTTTTTACACTGGCTGATACAAATCCAGAGGTATGCTCTCTTTCTATTTTTATATTAAATGTGTGAAATAAATACAAGACTCTACTGGCTGAAATTTTAAATTATAAGTAACTTATTACTGAGGATTATTCTTCTCTTTGCCATATTCTGAAGAAAAAGAAAAGAAAATCAGCAGGAGAATTTTTTAAGGGAAGTCAAATGCAGTGCTCTTCCAGAACCACGGGGTTTCTCCCATTCCAGTCTCACAGGTGCTCAGGCTGATGCTCCCATTGGTAGATCCAGGCAGCAGGAAGGGCTGTTCACTGTCCCAACACGAGGACATGGACAATGACACAACAGAGTGAGACAGTCAGAAACAAAACCAGCACAACTGCTTCTACCAGCACCTCATCAACACCAGCAGCAGTCTCTAAAATAGGGCTCTAGACATCACAGTCCTCCTGCTACTCCCCAGCCAAGCAGGGCTGAATTTGCCAGTGAGATTAGCACATCTCCTTGCTCTCTTCATCTACAACCACCATAAAGTTCCTCACACCTGACCCCAGTGTCTGAGCCCTGTGCCCCCCCAGGTCGTCCCCCCCCCCAAGCCTGAATCCCTCCAGGTGCACACCTTGCCTACTTACCCACTAGCAAGTTACACACGCAGGAAAGAAAAGAAGGTGACACAGAAAACAGTTCAAAATAGAATTTTGTAAGGAAACAGGACAGACTGTGGTGGTCACACGCAGCAAAAGTAGGTGAAATACTCTCAGAATTGTGCATTAGTAGAGGCTGATCAAACATTATGTATAAAACTGATGGAAGTTTTTATTTTCCTTTCAGCTGATGGAGAGCAAAATACAGTCAATAACATCTGAAAATGAAGAGATAGTATTAGTTGCTGACATTGTGAGATAAGCAAGAAAAATGAAGGAGTCTGAAAGTGCATTTCTCAGAAAACTGTGTATCCCTGTGGAAAGTCTTTACTTTCTTTACTTTCTTTACTTTCTTTACTTTCTTTACTTTCTTTACTTTCTTTAATTTCTTTACTTTCTTCTTTTTCTCACATAAAAGCATGTTGGAGCCAAGAGAGAATGATACCTCATATGCAATCTTTTTAAATGCCATTGTATTTGCTTTTATTTTTAGCTAATTTTAACTGTTTGGTTAAGTTGTCCTTATTGGATATCTTCTATTTTGTAAATATGATTGGAATATTTTATTCAAGAAGTTTTAGTTACGCTTTAATCTTAAGGAAAAATAACTGTCTTTCTATTTCATATTAAAAAGATTAATTATTAATTTATTGAGTTTAATAATTTTTTTAAAATTCTGATGCCTGAATTTCACTGTTCTACTGCCAAAAATGGGTCATCTCATACTAGAAGTTTCTTTGGAGCTCTTCAAGTACACATGGGCAACTAGAAAAATGAGATTCGCTCAGATTTTTACACTAGACATTTGAACATCACTATTTGATTATTAGACTAATTTTATAATGGTACTAGATGTTTTATTATTAGACTAAACATTCCTGGGACTATTTTCTTGCACAGGCGCCAATTCACATATAAAAGTCCAGACACACTTTCTTAAACCCCTAAATAAAGCGGACACATGCAAACTACCTTTAGAAATTAGCCCTGGCCTGAGCTAACCTCTGGACTATGTCCAGGAGCTGTTCAGGACATTACTTGTAAATCCTGGCTGAACTAATGCTGGGAACAGTTGTTCCTGGACATGTTCCAATGCTGGGGCGCCTTCCACTGCTGTACTTTCTGCAGTTTATACCGTGGCTGAACACAAACAGCTCTTGGCACACCTATTGCCTTTGACACAGTTAATGATTACCTTTTGGTCAAAGACTCACCTGGGAAGATTTTTGCAGCAGGTCAGAACAAAAATCAAATTTCTAAAAGAGGCTGAATTCATGCTGGACACACTTGTAAACCATCTTTGTATTTTTCCCAGTATGCAGCAGTGGTCAGAGTGGAAATGCTCACAATAACTTGCTAAAAGGCTGGTGAGGTTCTAACAGACTGGTTTACATAACCTTGCACAGTAACTCTCCTCTTGGGCAAAATTGCCAGAGTGAGGCATAGTTTGGCTCCAGTCCACCAAAACCTAGCCATGAGTTGTGAACAACCATTCAGTGGCTCAACCCGAGGAAGAGTAAAATATAATAAAGACAGTATCGAGACACTCAAGAGATGGCATGGGGGTCTTGTTAAGTAGAACTTAAACAAACTGTTCCTTTGTTTTCTGTTTTCTCCTGGAGAGGGATAACATATTCAACTGATACAGGAAAGGTGTTACAGACAGAACCCTGATGAAGTAGTCCAGGATACAATGTAAAATCATTGAATCACAGAATGATCAAGGTTGAAAAATACCTCCAAGATCATGGAGTCCAACCCTTGACCTGGCACCACCACCTTTTCAACAAAGCCATGCAACTCAGTGCCACATACAGTCATTTCTTGAACACTTCCAGGGATGGTGAGCCACTCCTCATATGGCTTACAAATGGATCAGTTAAAACTAATTCAACCACTGTTTGGGCAGCCTGAAGGTCAGGTGATACTGTAATACCACCTTCACATCACCTAGAACCTCCCCAGACATGCCATCACAGCAGCATGCAAATCCCTCATCAAAATTAATCAGGCACCCTGACACACACCTTGCATCACAAATATGTGTGACATGGAAGGTCAAGGTGGCAGTGGTCACTGAGGTGGGTGGTGGCACCCATGCAGAGCACATTTGATGAATAAACAATTTCAGATCACACTGAACTGGGACTACACATGTACTGGACATGTGTCTTTTAGGCTACATAAAATAAGTAAATTAAGTCCTTTAGTGAGTAGAAGATTTGAAACACTCATGTCTTGCTCCCAAGGTACTGAAAAGCTGACAAAGACCAAGCCAATGTCAGTATGTGGTTATCTAGACAAAATTCTGCAGCTGAGCTCTGCCTCACACATGCTGTGACTAAACTGTTACTCATTTCACTTACCTAGTTTTTTCACTCAAGGATTTGAAAAGGAAAATAATGTTAACATGTCCTTTTAGTGGGAATCACTAGGTAAAGGTGGGCAAGATGAGCAATGAGAACTGAAAGGCAAAGAGGTTTAATATTTGAAGTCTCTAGTTTGCTGTTGGTGGATCTGGGCACATACACTAGGAAAACAAACAAACAATCAAACCTGCCCTACAATTTTGGTTCAATTATAGCCGGGTTAAGAACAGTTCTTCCTTTAGCAGACTGACTACTACGGATCTTCCCTCACTCCTTAGAAGGCTGGGGAATTCTTCACGTTCCTGCTATTGTGCCACTGTTGGGAGTGGAAGGCAGGGGTTAAATTAACTCCTGTTTGCTAAAAGCATCCAAGCAATAATAATAAAAAAACCATCCATTACTTGCAGATTATATAACTGCATGTCAGATGTCATGCAAAACAAATGGGGAAGTGACTAACAGTCAGAGCCACATCTGAAGTTGCTGAAAGTTAAAGCAAATAAATTGGATTATCCTCTCATGGCTGCAAAGATTTTTGCGAATGCAACATTATGTTATTCAGTAAATGCTTTGGAAATTTAATTTCTGCAGTCAGACACTTTTTCACCTAACATGATATTGCAGCCTAAGATGAACCAAACTAAACCAGCCCATAGTTGGCAGTGAGAAAGTTCAGAAATTTGAGTCTGGTATTTTCCTTGGTATTTCTTTGCCTGCAAATTTGCAATACAGAAATTTCTTGGCTGTTTGTATATACCTGCTAAGGACTGATCTGCCTAGAAAGAGAACCTGAGCATGTGCAGGCAGGCAGTCACTTTAAACATGGACTAGTCACACAACACTGCTGTTATTTCCAGAACATATTATTTATGAAAATCTGATTATTTACAGAGGTGGTATTTCTATGAGCATGTTGATATACAGTGACCCTCCTGAGTACTTATGTATTTTTGGGTAACGTGTTTGCATATTGTGACATTAATGCTTAGTTCATCTGACATAACAGGAAGGAAGAGTTATTTGCATGATCTCTTCACGTGAAGTTGTTAACATCTGCCAATCAGGAAACTTAAGGAAGCTCAAAAGCAGTAAGGGAAATGATAAAGTAAGCAGCTTTCTAACTTGCAGCATTTGTTACTTAATACTGTTATGCAGTAAAACAAAGCTAACTGGCAGAGCAAAACATTTTCAGATTTCTGCATGTGAATACTACTACACGTTAAAGCGTCCTTGTTGCTGCAAACCTAAACCAAACAAGGTAAAAGAGGAGAGTTTTCCAAGAGGAGGTACGTCTCTCTGTGTTGTGTGTTGATATTTTTGTGCCGCAGAAGATTTTTTGCAGGATACAAATATTTTCCAGGGATTAAGTACAGGTTCCAGGGTTAGGTACAGTCATATTTTCACATGTACAAAATATGGATTAGTGTCCTTTGAGTTTAAGGAATTCTAGAGAATATTTTGAGGATTCTTTTACCTGTTTGATTAAAAGTAGAAATGTGTAAATACAAAATTTTTAAAGATTTCTGCAAGATCCAAGGAAGACTATGAAATGTCTGTGATATCTATTGCACTATTTGACTTTTTTTGTCTGTGATATCTATTTTTCAATAACTGAAAGAAATGCTATTTTCTGTACCCTTTCTATGAATTAACCAGAAATATGTAGATTTCTATTTCTTGGGGGGAAAAGCAGATCACAAAATCATGGGAGGATTGAGGCTGGAAGGCACTTCTGGAAATTGTCCTATCCCAAGCCTTGCTTAGAGCAGGGGCAGCTACAGCAGGTTTCTCAGGGCTTTGTCCAGTCAGTATCTCCAACACTGGAGACTTCAAAGCTTTCCTGGAAAACCTGTTCAAGCAGTTGAAGTAGTAGTTTTACTGTGACTACCTCACAGTAAAAGGTGTTTTCTTGTGTTTAAATTGAGTTTCCATTGTTTCAGTTTTTGCCCATTGCTTCTTGTCCAGTCAGTTGTCACCACTGAGCAGAGCCTGGCTCTTTCTCATTCCCCACAGCTGCTGGGTCTTCATCTCTCCAGGATGAATAACCCCAGATTTCTCAGCCTCTTCTCATGTGTCAGAGCCCTTTTGCTGGATTCCCTCCAGCAGCACCCTATCTTTCTTCTTCTGGGGATCCCAGAACAAGACCTGGCACTTCAGGAACACCCCCCTTGACCTGCTGGCAGCACTCTGCCTCATGCAGCCCAGGGTGCTTTTGATCTTCTGTTCTGGAAAGGCTGGCCCGTGGTCAGCCTGTGCTCTTTGCTTTCCAGGTGGATCTCAGCCTCTGCTGGTTGTGCCTCCCCAAGCAGAGGACTCAGCACCTTCCTTTGCTGAATTCCAAAAGGTTCTTGTCATCCCATTTCTCCAGCTTCTCCAGGTCCCTCTGAAACAAAAATAGTTGCATGGCACCCACTCCTCCCAGTTTTGTATCAGCTACCGGAAGCAGAATACTGATCTAAAAACTGAAATAGTTGTATTTAGGCAGCAATTTGATAATAATATTTCATTGCTTGGTATGCATTGTAAGGTTTCTATTCCTATTTCAATGCTTCCAGGAAGGCTTAGCCAGGGTATGATATTCTCCATATCTCAGCAATGTATAAGTGTCAGTTTATCCTCATGTGACCCTATAAGAAAAATACAAAGTTTCATTTCTGGAAGTGTGTCAAGGGCAGGAGTAATTTTCCCGGAGACACTGAAGCAAATAAGTGACTGGTCTCAGGTGATACTTTCTGGTACCATCCTGCACTCGCAACCTAAGAGCAAAGACAATACACTAAAAGGGTAAGAATTGACAGTGCTTAAGTCAGTATTTAGTGCATGCTTTCTGTAGAAACCACTACAGGCTACCTGACAGTATTTTACTTCTGACACATTGATGAGGTGGATAGACTGGGCTTATAACAAACTGCCCTGGAGAGAGCTAGGGAGTGAGCTAAGAGTTGAGGTTTCTGGAAAACAGGTGCTTGAGTACCCCCTGGGGCTCTTCCTTGTGTAGCAGGATAGACACACACTTCTGAGGCTGGCCAGGGGAGAAAGAGGAAAGAAGAAAGGCAGAAAAAAAAATCCAGTTTGGGCATTTTCATCCCAATAAATTGTATTTTGATGAAATATGAGGAAATACTGCTTACAGCAGAATATGTATGGTTCTTCTGGTCTGATCCTCCAAATAACACCCACAACCATTTTGACACAAGTGTTCTTCCTGGCACCTTCAATACTGAGGTGACTTCAGACCAGAGGGACCACACCTCTCTGAAGAAGATGAGTCTGGGAGAGGGTAGAGGTCCTGAAGACAGAAAACTCCTAAAAATATGATGCTGGAGCCACTTGTTTGGCCACTGGACAGAAGGTCTGGATTGCTCAGCTGAATGGCTCAGGGCTCACCACAGCTCCTACATCCTCCCCTGCTGCCTGCGGGCAGAGAAAAAACAAAGAACCTGGGTCATTCAGCTGGGATGGTAATTTCTATGAGGAAAGGGAATGCTTACAGGCCCTGCTATTCCCACTGCATGTCCAATGAAATGTCCAGAGAGTGGAGACAATGATGCCAGCAAACACTTCTCTAAGCAGACAGGGCTGTGGATGATTCCTATGGCAGTGTCCCAGATGAGCATTTCCATGAAAAAGCATGAAGGGCTCTTGCAGCATGGGGCTGCAGTCATGTGTAGGAAACCTGAGGGAGATTTTGAGAGAACAGGAGTAATCAGAACAGAGTGAGGGAGATCTCAAGAAAAATGGAAAAAAAAAGAAAATAAAGGAAAGGTGAGCAGACAGTTGCCAAAGAATAGGAAAACAAATGCCTAGAAAAGGAACATGAGGAAAGGAAGGGGGAAGTGTTGAGTGACTGAACAGAAGAGACCAAAAACAAAGAAAACATGATTAAGAGGCTAACTAGAAGGACAACAGGTCTCAAGGTTCTCGTGTGCATTACTGGGGGGGTCCCTGAGACCATGGGAAAGTGGAAATAACTATTGAGACAATATCTCATAGAGAATTCAGTGGCCAGTCCTCCATACTGTTTGTACTTGAGATTCTTCAGTATCACTTCCCAGCAGCCTTGGCCACATCCTTACTGTAGTATGGTGATTTACAAATATGGATGCTGCAAGAGATAAGCAGGATGCAGTGAAGAGTCTGTCTCTGTTGCAACCCCAGGGTGGTGTCCTGGCCCAGCTTGAATCCTGGGGACCATGATGGAAATGTCACATCAAGCCAATTTCCAGGAAATGTGACATGCCTTCTGAAAATATTCAAGATTACAGAATGACTTACTCGGAACAGAAGGGTGGGTTTTTGCTCTCGCCACAAGTGGAGTCAGTTTGAAATCAGCATTCTGAGATGACCATAAAAATTAATACAGAAGGGCTGACTAGTAATAAAATATTACCACGTTTCTCTTTTTTCCTGAGTTTGTATGAATTTAATTCCGTTTTAGAATTATCTTTAGTATTATCTGTAATCAAGAAAATTGCTGCTATGAAGTTGCACTGCTAGACAATGCTAAAGCAGAAAAAAATTTAACCAGAGTTGCTTCATTGCTTCTTTATGTAGGGAAAAAAAAATGCTGGAAATAGAGAAATTTTTTCTAAAGAGTTTTCACCTCCTTGGAGAAAAAGAAAATTGTACATAAGATGAGAAATGTTTGACAAGACCTGTTGCCAGTGTTTGACTAGCTTTGCTCAGCCCTCCATACAACATGAATGAATGTGGAGTTGTCCTTTGCAGGTGCTCACACTTCCTTAGTAATTTAAATTGCCTACAGTGATCTGGAACTCATTTGACTCCTTGGTTTCTGACACTGAATCAAGAAAAATTTGAAGGAGACTCTTCTGTATGGATGCAAACCGCTAAGAACAGTGAGAGTTATGTAGTTTGAAAGTGGAGACACATTTGTGACAGCAAACAGGAAGAAATACTGTGGTGCCCTGACCTTGGCTGGCCACCAGCTGCCTACCAAGCTGCTCTCTCACTCCCCCTCTTCCTTATTCTCTACTTCCCCTCAGCAGACAATATTCAGCCACTCCCTGAGACAGGGGGCTGCAGTACACATAGCAGCTGCTTTGGAAGTGTCAAACGTCTGGACAAGAAATGCCTCATCCTTCCATCACCCTGGTTTTATTGCTGAATATGCTGCCGTATGATATGGGCTACCTCTATCAGTTGGGGTTAGCTGTCCTGGCCGTGTTCCCTCCCAGCCTCTGGCTCATGCCCGTCCCACTGGCCTCTGCAGAGTTGGTGGGATGGGGCTGGAGAGACAGCCCTGACGCTGTGCCAGCACTGCTCAGCAGCGGCCAAAACACTGGTGGGTTATCAACACCATTCTAGCTGCTAGTACAAAGCATTGTGGTGTTCACAGGATCAGAAAGCAAGAAAGCCTGACTCTCTGATGGTACAGTTAGGATAGATATGTGGGAAAAAGTAATTCTAGTCATGGTCCTGCACTGAATACAGTGTGTGTGTTTATCATCATAAGAGTCTGTGGCTTCTTTATCTCAAGCTACGTTGTTTTAGGCAGTATCATGGCTATTCAGTTCAAAGAAGAGGTGCCTGAAGCATATCCTCTGATTGGCTTTTCTAAAGAATATTTTTTAAAAATTAAGTTTTGCAAAACCAAAATACTCTTCAACATTATTTTCCTTTAATTTTAAAAAATATTTTCCTTTTTCTTACTGAAGGTTTAATTATCTCTTTCCAGAGAAGGAAATATGTTTGATACTCTTGGACTCATTTGTATGATTTTGTGGTATATGATGCTATTTCATCCCTTGCATGCTGATATCCAGTGTATGGAGTGTAAGTATGTTTTTGCAAATATAATCTGAGAAACAAGGTTTAACTCTTCATTTATCAGAGATGCTTGCACTGAAACTGGCAATTGCTGTCTTAAACCTGACAGATACTATCCTCTGTATTCAACAAAAGCAATAGCATATCCTTACTGAACTTATGCTGCTACATTTTCAGCAGATGCACAGGAATCACCTATTACAAATGTGAATGTGGACTGGAGAAAAATTGAACTGTCCTGGGAGACCAGCAGGAATTTCTCTGAGTACAAATGTATCATCATGGACAGAGACATGGAATATATGGACACAGAGGTAAACTTGCTATTCATTGAGATAAACAATTGTACCTTTTATCAGCTTCACTTACCTTGAAAAAAATGAATGTCGCAGATAACATCTGACATGTGGCTTTTTGCAGCCCACAGCTTGATCTCTTAGGGGCTGTGGAAAATCATCAGCAATGCCAGGGTGCATTTACTGTGAGATGAGCACCCAATGCTTACTAAAGAATTGAAATTCTGACACCAAAGTAGAAAGAAAGTGATAGCCTGAACTGCAGCTATGTTGAGTCATGAGTAGGGATGTAGCTGCTAAAAAAAGGGGGGCTGTGAGATTAAGTGAGACTTTAAAGAGACATAGCAAGAGACCCCCCACAAATAAAAACGCCAGAAACACTGCCATGGATTATGGTTATCTCAAGTTCTTCACTTGTTTCCCAGTAAACCATGTCTGTAGCACAGGCTATGCTATAAACCCACATTATCCAAAGAGGAAAATAGGAAGCTCGACAAATAGAGATGGCTTGTTTAGCCTAGCAAAACAGGTGCCCTAGAAATACACAGTACAAAATAGATCACATCTTTATTGACATTTATGTGTATAACACCATAGACACTTTTTACCCCCTGGGCAGATCAGCTGAGGACTTTTGCTTAATCCTTTGGTTAAACTCCTTTGTGGCTCCCTTATGTATTTGCCATCTTCTCTTGTGCCGTTGGGCTACTATTAGTCTCCTAAAATAGTGGCACATTAGTCTAGCATCCAACTCCTGAGTTGCAAAGCTTTTTATGTAGTTATGTTTTTGATTCCTCAGTTCCATTTTGTATCACCCTTGAGTGCTAAAGGAGAGAGATATTTTTTGAACCAAAAACATACATATACATGGAATTGCATTCCTGAGTTGCACTTCCATAGCCAGCCTCATCTAAAATCAGAAGAGCAAAAGCAGAGAAATAAAATATCAGGTTCTCTTTTCAGGTGGATAGTCCACTATGCAGCTTTCCAGTGGAGCTACACATGCCTATGCACAAAGGGGTAACCTTTATCATTGAAGTGCCAAACACAAACATCTCAAAACAATGCAGCTTTCTTCCTGGAGGTAAAGTATTTGATCTGGCTGAGGTTTTATGCATTTGTAATCTTTTAAAGGTAAACATTGCCCTAGAAAACTGTTACTTACACAATAGGTAACTGCTATATTTTCTATTAAAAGCTTTTTATTTTCAGATCTGTTAAAATTATTTGCTCTGTAATAAATGTCTCCATCATTCTGCAAGAGATGTATTACAACAACTGTATTCATAATTGGATTATTTTCCTTTATACTAAGTCTCAAAAATACTAATAATTTACAGTAGTTTAAAGGTGGATACAAATAACTCTTCTGGCTGTCACAAATTAAGATGTTAGTACTTATTTATTGAATGCTTTTCTACTGGGCCGTTGGGGAGTTTGTTGATACCCATTTTTCCCTTCCTTCTCAGCTCAGAGTTCTCCATTAAAATTCCCCAGCCACCAGGGGTGCAGCAGCTGTGTGTAACTGGGGTATTTCAGATATGACAGAGGCGATGGATTAGCAGATTTCTTATGTCTGAGCAGAGAAATGCACGGTGCTCTTCTCCTCCTGTAGACTTGCCAGCAGAAACATTCATGGTGACCCTCAAAATATAAACCAGAATACACAAAACTTTGTTGCATCTCCCCTGCTGGCATTACCTTCCAGGTGTGAAGCTTCCCCAGGGGATTCCCCTGTTCTTCCACAAGGTTGCTCTGTTTATTGGGCACCGGAGAGGGCTGGAGTCAGTAGCAGAGGAAACCTCCATGCATTCACTGAATTTAGGACATAGCACAGTAAGAAGCAGAAAAATGGTTGAAGAAGAGAGGAAGAGGCTGAGCATGCCTGCACAGCCCAACCATGAGGGACCTTGCAAAGAAACGAGGTTCCCATTTCAATGTGATCCAGAAAAGCAAAAGAACTAGTCGCTGTCACCCACATGAAGGTAGAAAGATCTAAGGAGGAGCCTGCTTGATTGGAGAGCAGGAAAAAGTCCAACCTTAAAAATAAAGTCTCTGCTTTTTTAATCCTCTGTGTAAACCTGTCAGGAGTGGTTTCTTGGGCATTAATCGGAAAAGGAGAAATACTTATCTTTGTAGCAGCATGGACGGTATTAAAAGGCAATGTGCCTTCCTTTACTTGTGGAATGCTTCACTGACATGATTTTCCTCATCATGGATATTCCTGTGTTTGCAGGCATGAAGGGGTCAGCCATTGAAAACTTCTCCTGTGTGCTTTATAACATCTTCCTCATGAACTGCACTTGGCAGGCAGGAAGGGATGCTCCAGCAGACACACAGTATTTTCTCTACTGGCAGAAATCAAGGTAAACTTGAGACAGGGAAGTCTGAATTCTCATTCAACACATCACAGTGCCCATGTTTAACTGAAATATTTTGCTGTATGCAGAGAGGACAATCAGATGGAATGTGAGCTTTACATTAAAGATGAAAATTACAGAAATGTGGGATGTATCTTCCAAAACGTGAGCATAGGGATTGAAAAAGCTTACTTCCTGGTGAATGGGTCTAGCAAAGACTCTCTGATCCAGTTCTATGATGAGTACATTGACCTGTATGAAATTGGTAAGTAATTTAATATTTTATTTTATTAATGTTTTATTAAATAAGGAAGTGGGGATTTTTTTCTCTGAAAAGCATATTAAAAAAACCAAAGTCTGTAGCTGTTGCAGCACCCTGCACTGCAGGGCATTCTTTGCTTCCAACAGCTGGCAGAATACAGCTCCAAAACTTGACCAAAACAAGCAGAGGCAGAGGCAGCCTGAAAAAAACTGCTAAGACAAGAGGTGTGGATATAGTCATGGATTCCAAGTAATGAAACACAATGGTTAGATTTTTCAAGGCCACCTTTCTTAAGGGCCTATTTTACCATGCCTTAATTTCACACCTGAGAGCCACAAGAGCTACATGTCCTAAAACCAGAGTTTGGGCTCAGTTTCCAAATTAGTACTGTGTTAGTTAAGTATGTGGGTACCTCTGTGAGTTAGGTGTTTAAGCCCCAAGAGAAATCAGGTCTCACTGAGTCAGCTATATTATAGGCACTCCAATGCAGATGTCTCGAATGCATCATGAATAATACTACATATACAAAAACTTCCTTCCTTTTTCCTATGGAAACTAGCACTGTCAATGTGAGGTTGGAAAACAGATGTAGAAGAAAATGGCACTCTGCTGATTTCACTGCTGAATTACACAAAATCTTTCATACCTTTTCTTTACATGAACTTCATTTACTTCAGATGTCCAAAAACTTCAGTGATATATTCTCAAGTTTTGGTTAGGTATTTTATTGCTCTTTGCCAGATAACTTCAGTTAGCACCAGCAGCACACAGTTGTACATCAGCTGCCTCACCTTCACATGCATTTTGCTGTGAAGGCATGAATTGTAGCTGTTTACTGACTATGCCTATATTAATTATTCCATTTTTTCCCCAGAAATACTCACTGCTCCATTAAATGTCACTGCCCATTGTACCAGAGATCCAACAGGCTGCATAATTACATGGCATCCACCCCTTACAAGTCATGTTGAAAATACAAAGTGTTTTCAGTATGAAATTAGCATACAAAATAAGGTAAAAACAATTTCTTGGTTTGTGTTTGGCACAGTACCTATGCTCATGAAAATCTATAATATGTACATTTCTGATTTCTTTATTTGTTAATTTTTCTCTCATAAGCTGTAGTGTCCTCCTGTAACAGTTTTTGTGGTTTCATATCCCACCTGTCATGAACTTCTGCAGCTCAGAGGCTCACCATGGTAGCAATTGCTCAGCCACAAGACCATTACAGGAAAGATCAGCTAAGGGTTAAACATAAATATACAACTGCAATAAAGCAACACATCATTAAATGTTGTTTATTAAAAATGAGACCAGTGCCTTGCAAGCTGATTGGAATATCTGGATTGTGTATCTTTCATGCATTAATAGTATCTACCTTAGTATCTATTGGTACAAGGAACAATTGCAGCAATGTAGCTTTCCAGCTGGTTGGTATAATTTGACAATAATATCTAGTGCGAAATGCTTACAAAGTTCTACATAAAGATATAGATCACAATATAGCAGTATTGTGAAAACATTTATTTGAAAAAAATACACGTTAAGTCTTGTTTCCTGCACCACAGTCAGAATGGGTGGGGTTCAGTGTAGATTTCTACATTTGGGTAGGAAATTCATCTCCTAGACTGACACTACCTTAATGTAGTGTCTGCACAGGAGCACAAATATCTCCTAAGGGTCAGTGCACATCAGGGCTCCCTGCTGTGGAGCAGTAGGTGCCTCACAGCCCTTGAGGTGCTGAAGGTACCAGCAGTACTGACATGGAGAGGGCAGCTAGAACCTTTCAGGAGGGGCCAACGAAGGTAAGAGAGCTAAAGCAGCACTACACATCTGTTCAAGCAACTCTTTTACACCCTGCTCATTCCCAGCACAGGCTGATGACTTCCATCATGTCCTAAGCTGAAAGCACTCAGCTGACAATGAGTGTTGGGGACATAGTCTGCTTTATAGTAAAAAACACACTGTGGGTGCATTTTCTGTAATGAGACATTCCTTCCAGTTATACCTTTCTGACTTTTCCATAATGCTGGCTATCCTGATATTACATGTGATAGATGTTTCCAGGACCTCAGCTTTTCAATCCTTTCTGAGATCATTGCTAAAAGTCACTGCTGTTGAATTTGTTCACTCATTTTTGAACCTATCCTTTTCTTCATAATTTTCAGGTTCTTTGATCCAGGTCAGTGTTTGATTCCAGTCAATTAAATTTTGATTTTATAGGCTGTGTAAGCAGCTCTTCACAGAAAGCCCCTGAGCATGGATAAGTCTAACAGAGACTTTGACTGGAAGGAGGGTAAATTTGCTATTCACATCAATTTTCACAAACTATTGTGAGATTGCATCTTCCAGATCTGCTGTGTTTGTAGGATGATGTGATTGCTTGTGTAATATGGATATGGATGAGAATGCATAGTATGCATAAAAATACCCTTAGTGGCAAATGCAGCTTCTCACATCTACTGATAAATAATGTTTCCTTCCTTCTCTAAAAGAAAATGTAGGAAGACAAAACTCTGAATAAAGTGCTGTTATTCTGGGACATTACTGGATAATACTATCCAATTGATTTTTCAGTTTAAAATAACATATGATCTTCAAAAGCAGGAAAATGAGAACAATATAGAGAAATATTTGATTGATAAGAAAATAATAAAAATTAAGATTTGTCTTTGTTTTGCAGGATGAGCCCAAAGAAGAGAAAAAGCTTCCTCGTGTAAGTATTCTTGTCAAAATTTGTCACATACAATTTGTGCTTTTGCCTACTTAAGCATATAAATACCATCACAGAAAATACACTTGCTTATAGAACTACAGGTTTTGTATCAATGCACCAATGAGAATTCAGAAAAATATGTTCCTGTGATATCTTTAAATGTAAACTTGATATACCCCTTTTGGATGGCATAGGCAAAATTTTCCATGCATTTCACAAAACTTCATACATTCCATCTATTGCACAAATAGATTTTGTTCCTGACAGAGGAAAAATCTGAAACACTCTTTCTCATTGGAATAATACCACTGTTAGCTCAGGACAGCTAGGCAAAGGGAGTACAGCAATCTTCAAAACCTGGGGAATTTAATAAATACTGTCAGTCTTCCCTTGACAAATGAGTGGTCTTGTAAGCCTTGGAAGGGCTTGACAGATTCCAGACTTTGTATAAAGTATCATGATGCCAACTATTACATATCTGTTATCGTATTATCTCAAGAACACTAAATCAATGACAGACACCATCCATACCTGTTTAATCCCCATGAAGGTTGCAAGGTGAGTATACAGGGTACTTCTCCAATTTCTGCTTTGTGTCTTTCAGATTTTTTTAGGGCCCATTAAAAAATAAAAAAAAAAAAAAAAAAAAAAAAAAAAAAAAAAAAAGTGTCCATAAAGCATAATAAAAGAAATCAAAGAAAAAATAAACTTAAAAATATTTTTGCCTTCAAAAACCAGTTTTGCTGCAAGATAGTACATACCTAAAAAAACCCAAACATACAAATAATTTTTTTTAGCAACTGTACCAGAAAATTTACTCACAAACTTTGTTAATAGTTACCTATGAGGTGAAAAGCAGAGCTTGATCACTTTCCTTTTAGGTAAGGAATGACAGATATGAATTCCAAAATTACAATGAGAAAAAAAGATACACTCTGAAAATCAGAGCACGTGGAAAAAACTGTCTTGTAAGCTCAAACTGGGGGGAATGGAGTGAACCCATTGAGTTTGGTAAGACCATGATTTTTTTTTTTTTTCAGTATTACCTTGTTTGCTTCCCTTTCTTCCTCACAGTCACAGAAATGAATAAAACCCTAATTTTTACCCAATTACAGAAGAACCGGGGGGATTATATTAATGTGGAGGAGTAGCTCCAATACTCTGGCAGCAGAGCCTTTGATTAGCTGGGATTGTGAAGGCAGCAGTTACTCAGAGCCAGGGCTACAGAAACAGTCTGAGACAGACCCACCCTTGTCTTTGGTCGGCTGTGATGAGGCTGCTTCTCTGTTCTCTTAAGTTTTTACATGGATATCATCCCCTTCCTCCTCCATCTTTCTTTTCACACTTTACACTAATTTTGCTCTATTAATTGTTCTGTAAGTCTGTTTATTCTTCTCTTTTTCCAGAATTTTTTTAAAAAAATTCTCCAAATCTTGCTTCTCTAAATTTTAAATATTTGAAAATGTTTAAAATGTATCAAGTCGATCTGCATTTTTGGACAAAATTCTATAATGACGTCAAGCTGAAGTCCTTTAGAACATTCAAGAAATGTAATGAAATTCACATTCATTGCATCATACAGTCACAAAGGCAGCTTTTTACCATTCTAAAATATTTCTCTCTCGGCTGTTTCAGGTCAAGGGAAAGATTACTTTATTTTTGTTATTTTATTTCTGATTGCACTTGGAACAATCTCAATTACGCTTCTACTGTATTGTCTTTTCAAAAGGTAAGTCAACCTCTTTTCTGTAGACACTACTGACAGAGTATTATCCATATGAAACACATTCCTCCAACCTCCCACTTTCCTACCTGCAAATTAAAATAATCTGATTATCAATGTCAAGAATATTACCACCAGGATTGCTGTGGAGGGCCCTTTGGCATGCAAAATCACTAAGTGGAAAAGGGGGAAAGGATGTTGAAGTTATTAACTGATAGATTCTACCAGCTTCTACAAAAGCTTTTTTGTTCTTACTTTTAAGCATTTAACATCCAGGTAGCTTTGAAGCTATTGGCTGCATACAGTACCAGATAAGAGGGAATCCAAATTAACATATTGTTGTTTTGAGAAAACTTCTCACTCAGTGGTGAAAGTTATGTCATGTGATTTATTCAAAGTAATTTACTAATCACTTATTTACTGTGATTCTAGTCACAAAATAAATTTTAATAACCCAAAGTTAAGTGTAATAAGTGTGCTAAGTGTAATAATACTTACCCACCAGTTACCCCACTGAAAATATTTTATTTCTCATTTAATTTGTAGAGCAATAGATATTCAATCTTGAAAGTAAAAAATGTCCTTAAGTTACAGCACAAAATGTTTGTGTAAGTTATATTAGCAGCATTTTCAAATTCTCTGCAATCCCATTTTCTACCCAAAGGTACTGCAGTTTCAAGAACCTATTTCCTCCCATACCACAGCCAAGAGACAAATTCAATGCATTAACTGATGAAGATATCCAGGTATGATTTCTTTTCAATTCAGTCAAATTTGTTAACTACAAACCACAACAGGCCAAAGACTAGAAGAACTGACTTATAAAAATAAGTGTTAACATTTGGTCCAAAACTAATTTCTATCACACAAGCTATTCTGCTTTGAAACCTGAAATGCTCTATGCCAGTACTAAAACAAAAGATTGTCCTGGAGGTATTCGTAGACATATTTTAAGACCAGAATTTACACTTTTACTGAGTTTAAATTTACTTTAATTTCTGTGTGTACCAGCTTTGCAAGGTTGCTGTTCATACTTTAAAAAGAACCAAAGTGAGGATGTATTCCATTAACATTTTCAGACATCAATGGTCATAATATAAGGTGGATATATATTTCACAAGCCTGACCCATACCCATATAAAAATCCTGCCACACTTAGTGCAAATCAACAGGGCTGGAAAGACTTAACAGTGAAACTAACCTTCCTCTTGCATCAACACAGGATTTGCAATTTCAGTGTTTTGTTGAAATTGTATTTGACCAGTATCCTGTAGCAGCCCTGTGCAGCCTATTCTGTGTGTTTATTTAGCCTAGCTTTTAAAAAGCCTTTTTAATAGCTTGGTTTAACACACTTAAAATCCATTACTTTTTACCCTTATTCCTTTCCTGTTTACAGTATCTTACACACCTGCACACTGTCAACAGCAAGTAACTCTTCTGTCTGTCTGCACACATCACGACAACCAGGCTTCAAACCATTCATGCTTCCCAAATCCATCCATTTGAGCAGTGGTTTGTATGGTGACTGCACAGTGAAGGGACGCTTTCCCTCAGCTGGCTAAAGCAAAGACATACTTGAAATCAGTAAGTCAGGTTAGTCATTAATTGCCTAAAATTCAGTGGGCAACACCACACGTTCAATGAGGATTCCTAAAGTGACACATAAATTTTCCTTCAATCATTTACAAAGAATCCCCAAATCTCTGAATACTAAAACTCTCTAGTTTTCATAACTATATACCAGCTTGCTGTCCTGACTGTGTTTGGTCCTACCACCTTTGGCTTTCACAGAAAGCAGGTAGGAGTGTGACTTAGGTAGGTTTCCTCATACACCTTAAGTCATAAATACATGGTTTCTCACTTCCTACCAGGCTGCCAGAGCTAAGGCTACTGAGTAGCAGCAGTATACAGCCCATCATATTAAATAATAATAGCTAGGAAAGTAACAAGCAGTTTTTAGAAAATTGCATACTGATTGCTTGCTTCTCCTGAACTTGAGTGGCTTCCAAATTCCTGTGCATATACAGTACCAAACACACTCAAACCACTCCACTACAACCCAGAGGCCTTTGTGGATGAGGTCCCAACTGTGGCACAGGAACTTCTGTGCAGGGAGCAATGCAGCAGCAGCAGTTTGCCAGAGTTAAATGAAGCCCTCATGTTACCTCACGCCTACCAACCACAGCTGTGAAGATAATTCATATGATTTTGACATGCTTAAACAGTTTGATCTGCTCTTAAAACCTAATTTTATTTTACCTCTTCTCTCCAAACTCACTACCTTTAACACTGATTGAATGTTGTAATTCTTCAGTTATTAAAATAACACAGTACAAAAAGTACATTTTCAAAAGCTCTCCACTGAATACCAAACACTCTCCCTGACATTTCATGCTAATGGATTTTTGAGCTGTTTTGAAACCTGCAATATCCTTTGCTAATCACACCTTTTTAAAGCTTGCATTTTCTCATTTTCCCTCTGTTTACTCAACAACCTTTCACATTTTCTAATTCTTTTCTCTGATTACATAATGCTTTTCCTGAGATCGCTGGAAAAGCTCATGATCAAAAAAACCTTACTTTCTGCACTGCATCCTTAAAACACTCACGTTAAAGAACTGCCAATTTTATTTGCTTTAAGATCCTACCAACCAAATCATTCAGTGCGTCAGACAAATTGCACTCCTCTAATCCATTTTATTTTACTCATCTTACTACAGACCAATGATTTTCTAGTCATTCTCCCCATATGCTTTCCTCACCATTACCGAGTTTTGTTGCCTCTTGCCTGGAGTTAAATATATTCCAAGGAACTTTTGTAAGACACTCTTTGCGCATTTTCCTTGGAGAACAGTAAAGTAGCCCAAAACACCATGACCACAAAGCCCTGCAGTGCTTTACTCATTCTTCAGCTTTCCTAGAAGTCTCTAGAACACCATGGTTTAATGTTCCGCAGCATACCCTCAGTATGACAGTAAGCTTGTTTTTTAACCTGTTTTCCCCACCAGTATTAGCTCTTTTTTTTTTTTTCAATTATTTATCTTCCCTCGAAACTTTAAACTCCAAGTGCTCTGAGGACTACAATCTTACTTAGCAGCAGGCACTCTCCAAGAACTCCAGGTTAGCCAATGTAAAAATGTTTGATAGCAACCAAAATATTTTATCTACATGCCTAGCCAATGCCTACATATGGAAAATCCAGCCAATAGTAACTGAATAAATTCCTTCTGTTGTCTCAGCTAAGGCTGTCCAGCATCTAAACCAGCTTCTATTCTTCCTCCTGCTAACAGTTAGTACTGCTCAGTCATACTAATACATTCATTAAATGTCCTTAAACTGTTTTCTCCTGCCTTGCAATCATTTATTACCTATTAAAAGACTAAGATGCCTTTGGTACTGCTGAAACTAATGTTCAGAATGGTATGAACTTGTAGCTTACTGCATGATACAGCATTTTCTTTCCCTTTAGACAGAGTATGTAAATCTACCAACAAAAAGTCATGCTGAGAAAATAACTACAATTGAAGAATGATCCAACATTCCAAAAACACACCTGACTCCCCAACACGAAAATTATGGATCTGCTGACAAGTACTTCAAACCAGCCTATAAAAGGACACAATCACCTACAGAACTGTTTGTCCCCATAAAACCCACTTAAATGGAGATGAAAAAAAGGGAGAAAAATCACTGAAATTTGTTCTTTTCCCCTTGTTCAAACCCACAACGCCTGGCAATTAAGCTTTTCTGCAAGTATCTACTCTGAAGAAGTGCCTAAACCTTGCTGAGAGGTTCTTCACAACGTCAGACAAGCCCTCTTAACCAGAATAAAACTGTTATTTCCTGTCATCATTGCCATGAAGCTTCTTCCATTATGATTTCCTGTAGGCTGACAGCCTTGCTGCATAATGCCACAGCAATTTTACTGTAATTTTTATATGCCCAGTTATTTTCTAAAGCACAAACCAGATATTTAGAATGTGTTTAAATTTGGTCTTTGATCTTCCAACCAGTATCACCAAGCTATCCCAATATGTACAATTAACTTTATGCAAGACAAGAACAGAAAATATAATTATTAATACTGGTCTCAGTCAGCCATTTCATGAGCTCAGTATTGCAATTGTAAAGAGACCTCTGCAACACGATGATCCTGTGCAGTTTTAGTATGCGCTTAAGTAACACAAATAGCATTGAAAGCCTTCAAAAAAATCCAATAATTGTGAGAAATGAAATAAAATCTAGTATTTAATAGCTAGATATTAAATGCAAAAATTCCTCACAACTGTATTTGTTTCTCCCTTCAAAGGGTGCAAATGCTATTTCCAATGCTTTTAAAAAATAATATAGGCTTTAGATGCCAGTATTTTCTTTTACAAATGCTAGTTTCCTGTTCATACTTCTCAAAATGAATGAAATTCAGTGTTTCAATAAGACAGAGAACAAATGTTTTTTTTTAAAAGTCTCATTTATTGTTTGCCTCTTACATCCCTAAACTGCATCACACATTGGAAATTGCTGCTGCATGACTAAGGGAAGCCATATATTAAAAAAAAAACAAACCTGAACACCACAAATTAGTTCATATTGAATGTACAGCACAGGGAAATTGCAGTTCGACTTAAACTCTTTGTCCTGGTTTAGGGTAAATTTGGGAGGATTTGCTTCTTTTCCTATTTCTTTTGGTTAAACCTTGTTCTGAAGGGGAGATTGGGTGTAAAAGCCCTGTCCCTGTCAGGGGCTGCTGAAGTAACATTTGGTTTTTCCCACAAAGATTAAGCTCTCTCACAGGGAGGTATCCCACCATTATCTCTACCCTTGCAAGGCACTGATACAGAAAGAAACCTGATTAATATGTTTATGTAGAAAGAATGGCTTCCCCTGCTCCCCAGCACACTGACTGGCAGGGTTAACACCAAATGACCTGCCTGCACGACAGGGAGCTGCTACTGCCGCACAGGATGTAAGAACCACTTGCAGCAGGTACATGAAGTTTGCCAGCAGCCTGTGTACAAAGTAGCTGTGTGATGTCCTTACATTCACAGAAAGATGTTGAAAGCAGTGCTTGTGCAACAGTGAAAGGAAAAAGGTAAAGTACACTCAAGAGGAAGGTAATAACCAGCCAAAGCCAAGCAGGTAATTTAAATACTTCATCTGGAATAGCAATCTCAGAAGGCACACAGAAGAACTCAAGACAGCTCAGTCAGCCTTCAATGAGTCATACAATGACATAATTTTCCTTTCTCAAGATATAGGGAGAGCTCTTAAAACATGAAGATTAACACCTTGTTTTCCTCTACTGGTCCCTCCATGTCTTTGCAGGTTACAAAGTACAAAAGATTATATACATATGAAGAACGGCACATTATCTCAAATATTATTACATTATCTCAAAGAGCAGTTATGAGAAATGACTCAATCTGGTCTTCTGACCATCCCTAAACATTAATCAGTTAATACTGAAGGCTGACATACTTTGATCTATTGTTTTACAGCTACAAAGAAGCACACATTCCCTCCCCCACAACCCTTCAACTTCACCCATTAGACTGCAATTCATTTCAGATTAAATTCAACCTTCCAGAGCTACTGCCCACTGCTACAGATAAGGCCAAACAGTATCCTAAATGGCACCATCAACATTTCCAACCAGCAGCAACAATACAATACATAGGACACTCAGAAGTTGAAGGCATTTACTGGGTTCCTGGGTTTTTGCATGAATGCCATGATGCTTTCCATACCGATTTGACAAAAAATTATTTATTTTAGGCTGTTTTACCAAGGGCAAGAGCATGACTTTTTAACAGTCCTTGGTACTTTGGGTTTTCCTAGCACTACAGCTGAACCCCACCCCATAATTTTAAATCATGACAGAAGTTATAAATCAATCTCTAAGAATCATGCAAAAAGCCACTTGCAGCAGCCCATCATACACTATCAGGCACAAAGAACGGGAGTGGTTTCTATTAGTACAACCCATGCTTCCCCACCCCTCCTCCTAAAGATGTCACATTTATTTTTTTAAAAAGCTTATTTGTGTAAAGGTATCAGAGGACCCATTACCTGAAACAAGTTTTCAAATACAAGAGGCTTTTCCAAAGCTTTTATGTAATAATTTCAACACAGACCGAGTAAGTATGTTTATTGTTTTACAGCAGAATGCCCCAATTTAAGAACAAAGTTGCTAGATGTTCAGCTGTGCAAAATGGTACATAGTGCTTCAGTACAAGTGGAAAAAAACATGATTTGTTAGCAAATGCTTTCAAATACAATTTTATGGTCCTATAAGATAGGACTTGAAACTGAAGACTGATCCACAGGCAAATGTTTTTTTTCCTGCCTCAATTGGACCTAACAACTTTGGACCCAGAACCAATGCCACTCATTCCTTACTGCTGTAAAGAAAAACTCACACTGAATTGCCAGATTCAGTGTTTTCATGCATGTTACAGAGAAGTGGATCAGTCCTCTATGTCAGTTTCTAGCCCCATCTAGAAGTATCATCTGGCTCCGATAAATAAGACTCACAGGAATTTCTTGAAGGTCAATGGTCCATAATGGTGGTTATTCTACATGATCTGCTCAACTTGATTTCCAATTCTATTTAGGCTGTTTAAATTACTTTCTTGAATTCATCGTACAGCACAAGCACAAAAGCACCCCCCATGCCTCTGAGAACATTAGACCATGCACCCTTGAAGAAGGCCTTTCCTCCTTCATCCCTTGCAATCTTCCGCCAGCAGTCAATTGTTCCAGAGTACATGATATCAGCTGCAAGAAAAGAGCAAACAGTTATTCTTAATTCCCGTTTCATTTCAAATGATTTTAACAACTGCCCTGTTTCACCTAACTGCTTTGTGATGTCCCAAACCACAATTTCAAAATCTAACACAATACTTACTAAAAATATTATGCCTCCTTTTTAATCTTTGTTTAATCTAACAATGCAAACAAGCAGTCCATTTTTTCCATGTCACGTTCCATAAGGAAAAGTTCTCAGTACACATCCTGACAATCTCAGGTTGAGCCTTACTGCATTTCCTCATTTGAGTACAATATAATAAACCAGATTTATGGAACAATGAACTGTAATTCTGAGGATGGCTATTAGTAAAAAAGAACTCCATCTTGTTAATGCTGTTTCAACAGCACGAACAGCTCTGTGGATTTACGGCCTACCTCCTTTGCGTCCTGACTGCATCATCATCCTACGCCGCACTGTGTCGAAAGGATAGGAGACCACGCCAGCCACAGCAGTCACTGTCTGGGCGATCATCCAGCTGATAACAATGTGAGTGTTTCTGGGATCTGGGAGCATGCCTGCAGTAAAACAAAAATGGCAATTAGCTTTTTACCTTGCACACCCTCCTCTGGCTCACTGACTGCATGACAGCTATTCTACTACAGGAACTAGTATGAAACACTGTAGACCCATACTCTAAACAAAATTGCAGCATAACATTTCACAAACTTTACACATACTGAAGACATATTTAGACGATTTTCTTCTCAGTAATCACAGTGAATTACAATTTAAGCATTCTTTTTAGCCTGGCATGAAAAGACTTCACTATGCTTTTAGTAAAGAAACATCACTAAATTTAAGTCACTGTCCCTGGGGATAACACTACATTACAAACTAGCATCAACGGCTTATTTCCCCTGACGTCAAACTCAAAAATTACTTTGCAAAATCACTGCTCAATCCCATTCTGCTTAACACACTTGGACTGGCCCAGTGTAACTTCAGTATGCACCGAACAGAAAAGAAATTTTTCTAATTGTGTCTGGTCACCAACATACTCTCCTGGCATTAAGAGCAACTGCTTGAAGTACAAAACCAGTACTTGCAGGCAAGGCTGCTGCCATTAACACGTTTCTCCTTGTATACAGCACTGTCACAGACGTAGCACTGACATCCCCCTTCACCTTCACATATCCAGAACCAGACAATACAATTCTAAAACTAGGTTTTTCAGATCCCCTCTGATATATTACCTTTTGCTGTATCATAGATCCCAAAGTAGGCAGCTCTATAGATGATGATGCCTTGGACAGAGACATTGAACCCTTGGTACAGGCCACGCACACCATCAGACTTGGTGATTTTCACTAGACAGTCCCCGAGACCAGAGAATTCTCTGTCTGCGCCAGCTTTTCCAACATCAGCAGCCAAACGGGTTCTTGCAAAATCCAAGGGGTAGACAAAGCAGAGGGAAGTGGCTCCAGCTGCACCACCAGATGCCAGGTTACCAGCAAAATACCTCCAGAACTGAGTGTGCTTGTCTACACCTCCCAAAAACACCTGCTTATACTTATCCTTGAAGGCAAAATTAAGCGCTTGAGTTGGGAAGTATCTGATGACATTTGCCAAGTTTCCTCGCCAGAAAGACAGCACTCCTTGTTCTTTTGGAATACGCACAACACAATCGATGATGCCCTTGTACTGCTTATCAGCAGCGATCTGTTTACTCGCATGTTGCACCTGCAAATAAAAATACAAATATTGATCACTTGCCTTGACAGGTCTATGCTGCAGCTAGGCTTAAACCTGCTTCTACTACAAAAGAAAGTTGTTAATTCTGAGTGGCCATTGTTGGTATCATAAAGAAAAAGAGTTAAAATTGCCTCCAAGCTTTTTCAGAAATCAGGACATGGCAAAACAAGAACAGAAAACTGTGAGCAATTCCTCTACAACTTCCTGAAGGGAGACTGTAGCAAGATGGGGGCCAGCCTCTTCTCCCAGGCAATTAGTAACAGGACAAGAGAACACAACGTCAAGCTGTGCCAAGGAACATTTAGAGGGAACTAGGGGAGGAATTTCTTCGGACAAAAAGTGGTTAGACTTTGGAATGGACTGCTTAGGACTGGTGAAGCAACCATCCCTAGAGGTGTTAAAGACTAGACATGGCACTTAGTGCCACAGTCTACTTTAAATTAGACTACGTGGCATTAGGTTGGACTTTATGATCTCTCTGAGGTCTTTACCCAACTGATTCTGGGAGGTACAAGGGCAAGTATAAAACAAATACACCACGACAAATACATCGGGCATACATAAAGGTGAGAGCCATTACTGACAAAGACAGGCCTGCGGTGGGAATCGCCTGAGAGAGCCGCGTCAGGCCGACAGAGCAGCCAGCCAAAGGGGCAGGGCCTGGGGGCGAGGGCGGCTCCGCAGCCCCGCGGCCGGGGCCGGGCCGCAGCGAAGGTCACTCGAGTCACCTTGGGGCGCCGCCGGGTCACGCCGGGCCGCGCGCGCCGGCCGCGCCCCGACTCCGCCCCGCCCGCGGCCCAATCGCGGCCCGGGCGCGCATCACGTGAAGGCCGCAAAGATGGCGGCGGAGAGCGGCCGCCCTCCCCTCCCTGCCGTGCCCTCGGCGCCGGGAGCGGGGGCGGCAGGAAGTGACACCAGCGGCGGCCGCCCCGCTCGGCCCGGCCCTCCCTCCCCTCCCCGCCCCGCATGGCGGAACCGGCTTCGGCTTCCCCGCCGCCGTTCACGTGACCTTCCCGCCAGCCGCCGCCGCCTCGCTCGCGCCCTTTGTCCCGTGCTGGCCGCGGCTCCCGCCCCCGCCCGTCCCTCTGTCCTCGCCCGGCCTCGCGCCCGCGGGAGCAGAGACGGGCGCCGCCCGCGCTACCCGTTGTCGCCCGCACCGCTGACCTGGAGCAAGAGCTTGACCCGCTCGATGGGCGCCACCGCAGTCTTGCTGATGGCGGCGGCGACGCCGCCCGCCAGAAAGTCCTTGAGGAAGGAGATGGCCTGGTCCGCCATGTTCGCGCCGCGCCGGAGCCGCCGGGAGGGAAACGCTGCTGCCGCTCAAGCCGAAAGGGCGGGAGCGCCCCCGCGCATGGGCTTAATGCCGGGCCGCGCCGGCCACGCCCCCCTGCCCCATTGGTCAGCTCGCAGTGGGGGCGGGGCTTGGGAGGAATGGGCCCCGCCCCCGCCCCTCCCCTCGCCCTCCGCCCCGCTGCGGCGCCAGTGTCGCAGCGCCGCGTCACCCGGGCCGGCCCGGCCCCGCCACCGCCACCGCCCCGGGCCGGCCCCCGCGGGGCAGCTGTGGGTGCGCCCGCTGCTCACACCATTGTCCCCACTTCGGTCGCCTTCCCAAGCGCTCTCCGCGATCGCTGCCTGACACAGCCAGTAGCGCCCGCAGCAGCCTGCACAGCCCGGCGGGTGCCCGTACCGCCCGGCACGCAGGCTCTGTAGAGGGATCTGGACGGGCTGGATCGGTGGGCGCTACTTGTATGAGGTTCCACAAGACCAAATGCCAAATGCACTTGGGTGACTACAGCCCCGTGCAGCGCTACAGACTGGTGTCAGACTGGCTGGAAAACCGCCCCGCGTAAAAGGGACGGGGGTGCTGGTGACAGCGTCGGAAAATGAGCCAGCGTGCGCCCAGGTGGCCTGGAAAGTCAATGGTATCCTGGATAAGA